TTAACATTGAGGCAGTTGAGTCCCTAGAGGAATGTCACTCTCCCTGTTTCAAGGACTTGTCAGTGGGCTCTAGAATCTAAAGTAAATTTAATAATTTTTTCTTCTGCCTTTGTTTCCCACACAGTGAACATTATTAATATTTTAGTCTGTTTTTATACTTCTATGTCCATGAATATTTCTTATATAAATTTGAATAATTCTATGTAAGTAGAATGTTTTGTTGACTCAAAAGTCTATCAAGGATATCTCTAGGGCGCCTGGGTGGCTCAGTCGGCTAAGCATCTGCCTGCAGCTCAGGTCATGATCCCAGGGTCTCTTGCTTACCAGAGCACAAGCAGGGGGAGCAGTAGAGGGAGAGGGAGAAGCAGGCTTCCTGCTGAGCAGGCAGCCATATGCGGGGCTCAATCCCAGGACCCTGGGATCATGACCTGAGCCAAAGGCAGATGCTTAGCCATCTGAGCCACCCAGGTGCCCCCATAAATAAAATCTTAAAAAAAAAAAGGATATCTTTCTATATCACCATGTATAAATAAAATGCATCTGTTTTGCAGGCTACATAGTATTCCATAGTATGGAAGTTCCATATTTTATTTAAAGTTCCCTGCGCTTGGACATTTAGATTGTTTACAGTTTTCTGTATTTGCAAGTCATTTATACAAACACCCACCTTCCAGCATTTGCTTGAACAATTCGCTGGAGGGCATGAGTCCTCTCTGTGAACACTGCTGAAGTGGATGCTCCTGGGCTCCCTCCCCTCTCTCTACTGGCCCCATGGAGAACTGCACAGAGAAAAAGGAACTTGAAAGCCCATTTTTCTAGGTGTGGACTTACAGTGTTCTTCCATCCCCCTCTATTGGCAAAGACTAACATCAAGTTGGCTACCAAAGGAGAAAGGCTCTAGTACCACAAAGCGGGACAAAATGTGTGTATTGTGGGCTGAGAAATTATTAATAAATTAATAACTGGCACACTTACCATATATTTTATTGGGCACTGCCGGTAGATGACAAGTTATTTGTATACAATGACATTGAAATTGACCACCCAATAGCTCTTCTTTTCTTTCTGAAAGTATTTTAGTTTGTTTTTCTAGCTAGGAAATATAGTCTGTAAATAATAAAAGTCAAGATTTTCTTTCCAGAAGATTTATATTCATTTCCAGAATTTATACTCATTATTTCCTTAGTCTCAGTCCAGAATTCTCTAAACAATGTAAAAAATTGAGGACAACAGGTATTATTGTCTTGCTTAATGAAAATACTTTTAATGATTTACAATTATCCATTGTTTGTCCCTGATATATATCCATGCTCATATTAAGGAGCATCTATTCTCATTTGCAGCAAAAAGACTACTAGCTGTTCCCCAATATCAGTTTTCTCCTTCTACAGTAAGAATTTTTCAATGCGCACAAAGCCATTCAGAATAAGGAGTAGGGGCGCCTGGGTGGCTTAGTTGGTTAAAGTGTCTGCCTTTAGCTCAAGTCATGATCTCAGGGTCCTGGGATCCAGCCCCATGTCAGGCTTCCCACTCAGCAGGGAGTCTACTTCTCCCTCTCCCCTGCCCCTCCCCACCCCAGCTCATGCTGTCTCTCTCTCAAATAAATAGTCTTTAAAAAAAAAAAAAAAGAATAACGATTTCCCAGCCTCTCCTGCAGTTAAGCATGGCCATGTATTAAATTGAAGGCAATGAGATGTGAGCAGATGTGATGTATTTATCTTACTAGAAAGGGGTGGGTCCTGTCTTCCTATTCTCTTTTTCCCAGCTGCTAACAGAAATTTGGATATAGTGGCGTGGACCATGCAGATGAGAGTAACACTCAGAGATATCAAAGCAATAAGACAGAAAGTGCCTGGATTCCTGAAGATTGTGGAGCCACCAAACTAGCCATGGATTTATACCCACGCAGTGATGTGAGAAAGAAATGGGTACCAAGTTTAAGCCACTGCTATTTTGAACCTCTATTGTAAACAGAGTGTATACCCTAACTAAATTACTACCTAGTAAGAGTTTTTTTTTCATTAAAAATAGAATATAAAGGGGCGCTTGGGTGGCTCAGTCGTTAAGCATCTGCCTTGGGCTCAGGTCATGATCCCAGGGTCCTGGGATCAAGCCCCACATCTGGCTCCCTGCTCAGCAGGGAGCCTGCTTCTCCAGCTCCAGCTCCCCCTTGCTTGTGTTCTCTCTTTTGCTGTATATCTCTCTGTTAAATAAATAAATAAAAACTTTTAAAAAAAATAGAATATAAGGGGGGCACCTGGGTGGCTCAGTCAGTTAAGCATCTGCCTTCCACTCAGGTCATGATCCCAGGGGCCTGGGATCCACCTGTGATAGGCTCCCTGCTCAGCGGGGAGTCTGCTTCTCCCTCTCCCCCTGCCCCACCTTGTGCTCTCTCGCTCTCTCAAATGAATAAATGGAATCTAAAAAAAAAGAAGAAGAACATAAGGGGTACCTGGGTGGCTCAGTCAGTTGAGCAACCGATTCTTGGGTTTTGGCTCTGGTCCTGATTTCAGGGTCATGAAATCAGCCCAGCATCGGGTTCTGTGCTTGGCATGGAGTCTGCTTGGGATTCTCTCTCTCCCTCTGTCCCTCCCACTTGTGCTCTCTCTCTCTCAAATAAATAAATAAAGCTTTAAAAAATAGAACATAAAAATATTTATTTTTATAATTTCTCTGGTGGGATATTAGATATTCAGAATTTCCATGTCATCCTGACTAAATTTTGATAGTTTTTTCTAGGAAATCATCCCTTTCATCTACAACTTCAAATTTATGAAGATAAAGTTATATATAGTATTCCCATTTGATTAAAATTTTAAAAATCAGCATGTATGGTTAAATCCTACTCCTTGTTTTGGGATCCTGAGATAGCACTTGAATGGTGGTGGAGCAGCAGGCTAGGAAGAGCCTGGGTCCCTGTTGACTTTGTGGGTTAGGGCTGCCACACCAGTCCTGACATAGGCTGCCTACCTCCAGCCCACCTGCACATATTATCTTGAGAAATACACTTACATCGTGGTTAAGATCCTGCTATTTTGGGGGCACCTGGGTGGCTCAGTCATTGGGCATCTGCCTTCGGCTCGGGTCGTGATCCCAGGGTCCAGGGATCGAGCCCCGCATCGATTGGGCTCCCTGCTCAGCGGGGAGGCTGCTTCTCCCTCTCCCCCTGTGTGTGTTCCCTCTCTCGCTGTGTCTCTCTCTGTCAAATAAATAAATAAAATCTTTAAAAAAAAAAAAGATCCTGCTATTTTGGATCTCTGTTATTTGTAATCCTAACTGATCCACTGCCTCACAGGGCTGTTATCAGAATTAAATAAATGAGAGAATACAAGTAGACCACTGAGCCCAGCACTAACTCTTAACACACAGGAAGTGCTCAATAAAGAGTGACTAGTCCCAGGGAGTTAGGTATTGCCAGGAACCTGTCACAGGGGCATGCCCACAGGAGCATAAGGTACATGTGAAGCTGCCGGATTTAGGCCCTCCAGGTATTTTTTCCACTTTCCCCTGAACATTTGAGTCCAGCTTGTTCTGGTCAGTGGCCTGTTGGGTTGTAGTATTAATCTTCAAGACTAGCCTCGAACTTTGTTAGTTGAAAACAGAAAAACTGAGGTGCTCTAGGAGGTGACAGAGTTGCAGGCCACGGAGTGCTGTCTTTGCAACCGAGGCAAGGCAGCCTGACTGACCACACACCACAGGCTGGCAGAGGAGCGTGAGGATGAGGAAGGTTGGATCATCTTCATAACCTCCCTTTCTCCACTCTCCGCCATATACCAAGGAGAAACCTCAGCCCACAGTCTCTGGCAAGTCTCACCTTCTAGCCTCCCCTTCTGCAGGCACCTCCCACCAGAGGTGTCATTTCAGCTCCTGGTACATCAATCTCTTCCTCATGGCGGAGCCTTTATTCATTCTGCTCCCCTTGCTTGGAAGGTTCTGCCCCCAAATCCTTGTAAAACGGCTTCTCATCATTCTCCAAGTCTCAGCTTAAATGTTCCCGCCTTGAAGCGGCCCTCTCTGACCGTCGGTTCCTAACATCCTCCATTGCTTCACACGTTCCTTTCTTTCTGGTATTTGTCACTACCTGAAAGCAATGTTTGTGTCACTTATCTGCTTATCAGTCTCCCTCACTAGACCGGAACCCCGTGAGGGCAAGGATCTTGTCTGGCTTTGTTATCGCGTATTTCTCATCGTTTAGCAAAGAACCTGGAATGCAGGCATTCATTTCGTATTTGAAAAACGAATGAGTGAATGCAGCAAAGCCCATACTTAACGTTTCCCTGCCCTTTACCTCCCTCCGCCCGCCACCCAGAGCCACCCCCACTCCCCCCGCGCTGGCCCCCTCAGTTTCCCCGGCTCCCCCCGCCCCCAAGAGGGGTCTCCCTCCAGACGGTTCCCGCGCCCGCGCCCAGGTCTCCCCAGCACCACTGTCAGGCCCTGCTCCGGGGCTCGGAAGGTGCTAGAGCGCCGGCGGGAGGTGTCCGCGCGCCCGCCCAGCTCCAGTGCAGGGGCCATAGGTGGCTGCCGGGATCGGGCTCCCAGAGTTCCCAGCCAGCAACGAGATGCCGGGGCTGGGAGCTCGAAACCGGAAGCGGCTCTGGCCCGGGCCGTCCGGCCCTCGCCCGCGGCCCCTCTAGGACCGCAGGAGGCTTGGCACTTCGGTAGTAGGCCCAGGGCCGGCTGTGAAGGCTAGGGGGGTGGCGAGGTCAGCAGTCCAGGCCCCCATCCTTAGTCCCTTCGGCAACGGCCACCGGACAGAGGGGAAGAGGGAAAACTTCAAAGCGGAGATTTTCGGATGTTGCCGGGCAACCGTGCCGCTTGGGGAGCGGTGGGGGAGAAAAAGGGTCGTGATTGGCCGGTTCCGCTGCAGCCCGCCCCTCGCCCCGCCCCGCCCCCTGACTGGCTAAGGTCTGAGCTGGTGGGCGGGGCCCCCCGGAAACCCATCCTCCTCGCCGGGAGGCCCCTTAGTGAGGGTGGGCCTCCTACCCCATCGCTCGCGCCCGGCCTCGCTACCCTGCGGAGTCACCCAAGTGCGGGAGACGCCCCTGGCCTGCGGAGCGCAGCAGGGCCAGCTGGGCCCTCAGCCCCTGCAGCAAGTACCTGGGCCGTGCCTTGGGCCGCACAGGGAGCGGGTGGGCAGCCCGCAGGGACGATTCCCCGCCTCCGCCCTCACCCTCGCCCTCCCTCTGACGGCGCAGGCGCAGATGAAGCGTGAGCAACCAGGTGGGGGCCCTCCAAGGCCGGAAGGCTGGGAGGCCAGGTGTGAGCAGAAGCCAGGAGGAAGCAGGCCAGAGACACCAAGACCCTTCCCTGGCGACCCCCTTCCCAGTCAGCTACCTCTCCATCACCCACCATGTCACGAACACCCTTCAGCCTCACATTCTAGGCCCTTCCACGACATCTCCACTACCTCTGCAGTCTTAGTTGTTCTTGTCAAATGTTTCCTAAATTGCCAAGTTCCAGTCAAAAACTGTTCTCGCCAGCTCTATCCCAGAATGGTAGCCTCTGGATGGGTCTCTAGGCAGAAGTGGACTGAGACCCATGGGGCCCTTGGAATCACGTTCCTCTCCACGGTGCTATGAAAAGGGGAAACAGTTTCTCCAGGTCTCTGAGTTCCTCAGAAGCCAGAGTGGAGTCTTTAAACGATCCCCTGGCTCACTCGACAGATCTCTGAGCTGTTCAAGTCCTGGCACACTGGCCATAAAGCCCAAAGCAGCAAATGAATAGGCACTGTGCAAATACGTCCTCTGTGCTAAGCTTGTACCAAGTTTAACGAGTGTCCTTCCTGCCTCTTTCATCAGAAAACAAGCTCCTGGAAGCTGCAAGCCTGCTTTATGTGAATAAGCCCCCCTCAGCCCCTTACATTGAGCCAAGCTGAGAAATCCCATTTCTGACTGAGTGACCGGAGCCATGAAGACAAGCTGAAGGGAAGAAACAGCTTTCTTTCTCAGGTCTTCAAGAGCCATCTAATTCAACCAGTCCGGCCAGCAACCCAACCCTAGATCCCACTGAGACCTGCCAGACACAAACAAGTTCTGCCTGGGCTCCCACTAGTCCGCAGCTTCCTGGCATCTGGCTGATGACCTGCTCCCCGACTCGCCATCTCCGGCTGAATCCAGCAGCCTGAAGTTCGAGTCTACAGTCTGTCTTACTCTTTTTGGACAGCCCCACCTCATAACATGCACTAGCCAGCCAGTAGTCGTTGGGATGCATGGAAGCAGGGGTATTCTTTACACAATGAAATCCCTGGACCTGAACCCCAGCTTCCAGCTCTCTGGTTGTTGGCTAAGTTATTGGACCGCTCTCTCGGCTGTTTCCTCATCTATAAGACTGGGACGGGGTCCACTGCTCAGAGTTGTGGAGACTAGAAGCGACATATACATGGCACTTGGCCCCTTGACTGGCAGCTATTATCAGTCAGTCCCCGCTCCTGCTCCAACTCCCTTGAGAGCCGGGAGCCAGCCAGGGCGGCAGCCACCCTGCTGGCCCCGATTCAGGGAGGCAGGTGGAGTCTCAATGGCCGCCCACATGCAGGTGTCCTCAAGGTCAGTCGGCGTCAGAACACAGTGTCATCTTGGAAGCCAAGCTGCAAAGTTTGGATAATAAGCAGGCTGAGCCCATTCCTCCCCAGGAAAAAAAGAGAATGGGAAATAGAAATACAGAGGTCAGAAAAGCAGAAGGCCAAGAGTAAAAGAGCCAGACAGGGGCAGGTAGGGCAAATTATAAAGGACATGTACAAAGAGGCCAAGGACGTGAAAAGTACCAGAAGGAGCTGACTGCAGCCTCAGAAGGCACCAGGAGGGACAGTGGTCCCTGGTAAGGGAGGAATCCTCACTGGATTACGGCCAGGCCCCAGTGGAAACACATGGAAAATGTCCAGTCACAAAACAGGCCTCCAGTGCCTGAGACAGGAGACAGGGAGGGCCGCAGACAAGGAACATGAGTTCCCAGCTGGCTCAACCCTGCTCCAGCTCCCAAACAGATGAGCCAAGGGAGGGTCCTGGGCTCAGGGGCAATGTCCCTGGGGACAGGAGCGGTGGTGGCAGCAGACCGCCCCTCCAGGGGGATCCACAGTCTCCGAAGTGGCTGGCTGGCTTCAGGTTTGGAAACCTCTGTGCCCAGAAGCCTTTGCTTGTAAACTTAGGGTCCGGATGCTCTGGACTGGCCCCAAGTCAGGTCAAGGCTGGGAAAGAGAGTACCCAAGCCCCAACAGCAATGACTCAGGGATGCCTCAGCCATGGAGGCCCCCCGGTCGGACTCACCGCCAGGGCCCCACGAGACAGAGCATAAGCGGTGGCTAGAATTCCAAGGCCTTTAATTTGCAGCTAGCGTGCCCGTGCCTCGCCCTAGCTCCTGTGTTGCCATGCCCCACCCCATGCCAGCACCTCCCGCTCCCTTCCCACACCCCTTCTCACGCTGCCCTCACGCCTCCCCCCTGCCCGGCCTCCTAAGTGTGAGCAGGTGGGGGGGCCGCCAGAGCCCCCGCCGCCCCCAGCATCAGCATGGCCAGGGCCTTGGGCCCCGTCGTGTGGATCTTCTCGTGCCGGTGCAGGTTGGAGCGGCGGCTGAAGCTCTTGCCACAGAGGGGGCAGGAGTAGGGCCGGACGCCACGATGGGTGCGCTGGTGGGCGGTGAGGTGTGAGCTGTGACTGAAGCTCTTGCCACAGTCGAGGCAGTGGTAGGGCTTCTCGCCCGTGTGCGTGCGGTTGTGCGCGATGAGGTTGGAGCGCTGGCTGAAGCACTTGCCGCACTCGGGGCACGGGTAGGGCTTGACCCCAGTGTGGGTGCGCTGGTGGGTGACCAGGGCCGAGCTCTGCGTGAAGCACTTGCCGCAGATGGGGCACTTGTGGGGCTTGGCGCCCGTGTGGGTGCCCTGGTGGGTGACCAGGTCCGAGCGGCGGGTGAAGCGCTTGGCACAGCGGTCACACACATAGGGCTTCTCGCCCGTGTGGATGCGCTGGTGCTGGATCAGCGTCGAGTGGTGGCTGAAGCTCTTCCAGCAGGAGGGGCAGGTGTAGGGCTTCTCGCCCGTGTGGATGATCTGGTGCTGGATGAGGTGCGAACTGCGGCCGAAGCGCTTGCCGCAGTCCGTGCAGGTGTAGGGCTTCTCGCCCGTGTGGGTGCGCCGGTGGGTCACCAGGTGGGAGTGCCAGCTGAAGCCCTTGCCGCACTGCTCGCACTTGTAGGTCTTCTTGCTGGCGTCACCGTCGGGGGCCAGGCCCTCCTCGCTGCTCTCGGGGGTGCCCGTTCGCCCCTCTCTGGGTTTCTCTGGGAGGTGGCCCTCCTGGGCCTTCGCGAGGCTGGTGTCGGGCGGGGTCGGTTTCGCCTGCCTCTCCTCCAGGGGACCCGGCTGCCCATCGTCTTTGGCTGGCCCCGAGCTCTGGCCGCTGCCTGCTTGCTGCCCGCACTGCAGGATGTCCCCCTGGGCTCTCCCCACCCTGCTTCTGAAAGACTTCACATCCCCAAGGGCTGCCAGGGATGCCAGGGATGGGGCTGGCTCCTCCTTTCCCAACTCAGTGGCTCCTGGAGAAGGAGAGTTTCCAGCAAGAGAGAGACTTCCGTGAGGGACCCAGGGAAATTCTGGAAATGGAGGTAAGAACAAGGATCCTGGAAGGAAAAGCCACCCCCCCGGCAGAGGACAGGAAGCCGGCAGCCTTGCCCCTGGCATGCGTCTGCACCCCAGGAAACAGAGGGCCCGCACTGACAAGGGGCACCCCCGAGTGACAGTGACCCACCCACCTGCCACCTCTGCACACACCTGGCTTCTCCTCCTCATCTCCCATCTGCCGGCACGAGCTCGAGGCCTCACCCTTGCCCTGTCCTTGGGAGGCCCAGAAAGGTCTGCTGAAGGGAAATCCTGGCCAAAACGAGACAAGAGATGCTGCGCTCAGTCGTGAACTTTCAGGCTGCGCTGCAGGAGACAACCCCCACCCCCATCTGCCAAGTGAAGAGGCAGAAGTGGGGAGGCAGCCCTGCAAACATGGGATAAAACGACATAAGCTGAAAAATCGCTTGGGGTCAGGTGTCCAGCCCTCTGTGGGAAGCACCCTGTAGGGTAACTGCCAGACCTACTCTCCTCGGGGCTGAGTTGGGCTCCATCTCATTTCCCTGAACGAGCCCCAAGAGCAAAGGGAGAGGGGCCGGGTGAGGTCAGCTGCCGACAACCCCCTTTGTCACACAGGCCCCCAGCAGTGAGCCCAGCAATCTCCAGTCCTGCACCTTCCCAGACCAGGGGCAAAAAGGGCTCCTGGGGGAGGGACAGTGGGTGCAACGAAGCCCAGTGGGAGGGCCTGGGAGAAGAGGCCAGGGGTGCTGACCACCTAGTCAGGGACCAAAGGCCCACTGGCCAAGTCCCCTGGGGCAAGGGCCTGGGGATTCTGGTCAAGTCAGTAAGAGAGCAGAGGCCCCAGCCTCCATGTCCTGATCCATACGCTGCTGGAGGGAAGGAATGTGTTGGACCCACCAGCAGGTTTAGGGCATTTGTGAGGCTTGCCGTGGGGCTGCAAATGGGTGCTGAGTTCCCTCTGATCTCTCAGGACTTGCCTGGACCTGCCGCTCTGGGCCCTGGGGAGTGCTAAGGATAGGTGGTAAGCAAACCCGAGATAATTAAAGGAGTGAGCTCTCCTGACTCCGAGGCCCACCACCGAAGTCAAGGGTGGAATGACCAAGCCCCCAGCTCCCCAGACTAGCAAGTGTGCCCCTGGTGTGTATGGATGGACAGACAGACAGACCAGACATATGAATGAATGGCAATGAAGGAATGAGCACCAGGAGCTGTCCGTAAGACCTCCTAAATTCTGCCAGCAAAAGCAGGGTCTGAAACGGAGGAGTCAGAGTGCTGGGACTTTACTTACCATGAGAAACAATGAGGGAGACAAGGCCCCTCTGAAAAAACGACAGGCGCCTCAGGGTGGATGTGACAGCTCAGGGTCTGGGGTCTAGAGAGATTAGCTGGCACCCGTGCCCCCCACTCGCGGCAGGCATCCCCAATATGCAGCCAAGCTCTCTGCACACACACCTCTCAGGTGGGGCTTTGAGGAGCGGGACAGTGGGAGGAGCGGACTAAACACTTCAGAAGGACCAAGGAGCAGAACCTCGAGGCCAGCACTGCCCAACATAGCAGCCACTCGCCATGTGGGGCTATTGCAATTCAAACTTGAGCCGGGTAAAATGAAATAAAATATGAACTCAGGCGCTCCAGCCACATTTCCAGTGCCGAGCAGCCACATCTGGCTCATGGGCCCCAGGTCAGCACAGAGCACACGTCCTTCACCAGGAAGGTGTTACAGACCAGAGCGGCCCACATGAACGATGAGAAGGAGCTTAGCCCTGGAAGGAGGGGATGGCGGGACGGCCCCACTTCTGGCACTGGGCCTCAGAGAGTGGCCACCCCAGCACAACCTTGGGCCCTTACCCAAGGATAGCCCATTCCTCTTCTGCAGGACGTCCCTATAGAAGCTCTGCTGCGCGTGGTCCAGCCGCCCCCACTCCTCCCGGGAGAGGTACAGAGCCACGTCCTCAAAGGTCACCGGCATCTGAAACAACACAGAAGGCCCACTCTCCAGGGCACGCCGGGACACCGTGGAGGGGCACAATGGCTCCAAATGAGGGCGACCCCTCCCCGGCCTCCAACCTGCTGCCCCGAGTAAGGCCTGTCCTCCAATCTGTCTGATGGTGAAGGAGGACAGCCGCCCAAGGGTGACTTTGGGGGTTGGGGGGGCAATAACAAAGCAGTTGTGTACAACAGAAAACAAAAGACAAAGACAAGGGCCCTTTCCGGCACCACAACCAAAGCTCAGGCTCTCCACGCGCCCCCCTCCGGCCCCCACCCTCGGGTCTGGTGCTCAGATCCAGACGCTGAGGCACAGACATGCCGTTCCTCCATATCCCTGTGCTCTTCCTCCAGCCTTGCACTTGAACAGGGACACTCACCTGGGACCAGGCGGTGAGCAGTGCCGCAGCCATCTGCCGGTCTCTGGTCCTGCCCTCGCGAGCAAGCCCGGGGATCTGGGGGGAGGGGAGGGCTGAGAGAGGAGAGAGGTCCTCAGGGCGGCCACCTCACCCTGCTGGGCCCGGCCACTCCCCCTGAGCGGACCATGCCTGGCTTACCAGGGACACCACAGCTGCCTCAAACCCCACCCCCAACCTGACCCAAGAAGAGGGTCAGTAGGTTCTGAGGTTGTGCAGGAGCGGCCTCTGAGGGGCAGGTGGGCAGACATCCGGGCATCTCCATGGCAGGAGAGCTTGTGCCCCTCCCATGCTGTGAGCCTCCACCTCTCCCCACAGCTGCCACCCAACAAAGTGCGTCTCTCTACGTCCCTCTCCACCCCTCTCCTCACCTCCACCAGGCAGGAAAAGAGCTTTCTCTTTAGAGCCCTGGCTTAGGGACACCCAGCCCGGCGTTCCTGGAGCCCCATCCCCCTGCAGTGCCCCCTCAGGTTGTGGCTCTTCCGGCTCCGTCTTGATGTGGGGTGACTCCTGAGCGGCTCCCAAAGGCACCATCTCCTCCGACTCAGAAAGCATTTCTTGACAAGGATCCCCATGACCTGGAACCTAGGAATGACAGCCACCATCAGCACCTGGGCAGAGTATGGGAGACTCACAGCCGAGCTCCACACCTGAGGGTCCTGGCAGGGGCCACACACACCCAAATGCAAGGCACAGATTGAAGGACTGGCCTTGCTTTCTTCTCCTGGCCCTGGAGACCCGCACACCTCTGCTTTACCTCCACAAGGCCGGGGCAGCAAGGGAAGGAAGGAAGGCGCAAGGTCGGGCCAGGGGCAGGCTGGCCAGGTGCCCACAGAGCAGAAGCCTCTTCTCAATTCCAGCCTCGTACCTCCCACAGCAGTGTGGACTGTTACTGTTTAACACTGAGGAAACCAAGTGCAGTGGATTGAATAGTGTCCCCCCAAATTTCACATCTGCTCGGAACCTCAGAACGTGACCTTATTTGGAAGATGTAATTAGTTAAGGATGCTGAGATGAAATCATCCTGCATTTAGACTGGGCCCTAAATCCAATGACTGGTGTCCTTATAAGAGGAAAAGACATGGAAACACAGAGAAAGCCACGTGAAGATGGAGTCAGAGCTGGGGTGAAGCCAAGGGACACCTGGAGCCACCAGACGCTGAGAGGCAGAAGGATCCTCTTCCTAGAGGCTGGGGAGGGAGCCCCCCCCAATGCTGTGATTTGGGGTTTCTGGCCTCTAGAACTGAGGGAATAAATTCTGGTTGTTACACAGACGCAGGACACTGACGTATCCGGGCTCAGAGATCAGACAACGGCCCAAGATCACAGAGCCCATGAGTGCTCGGCCAAGAGTGGAACTCGAGGGTATCTGACTCACAAGTCAACCCCAGGGCCACCATTTCTTGGAGATGACAGGGAAGTATCATGTGGCCTTGGGCCATTTCCAGCCTGACTCAATTTGGTCACAGAAGTTGGAGTTTTGGGGTTTGGAGAGAAAAGCCCAAGGGTACCACTAACTGTGCCAAGGCCCGCGCCCACCTGGGTCCGACAGAAGGAAAACCTCCCGGCTCATCCCTGCAGCACCACCCACCACAACGGCGCTTCCAGGGTCCTCCTACCCAGTCCCCACTTCTTCACACCAGCCTCAGCTCCAGCCCCTGGGACGGTGAGAAAGGGGCTTTGGAGTCAGGCAACCAGGGCTCAGATCCAGGCCATCCAGGCCGGCCCCTCACTAGCTGCTCAACCTGGAGCAGGCACCGCCTTCCCACAAACCTCAAGAGTTTGGGGAAAGTCACTTCCTTTGCCTTGGGAGGCCCCTGGTGAGGCCTCCCTGTCATCCACAACACAGGGATTGGCCAGGCTTCTCCCTCCACCACCCCCCACCTACCGCCTATGTTATTAGGGTCTCAGAGGGAAAGACCCTCAGGTCAGGGAGCCACCTGGGCCAGGCAGCCTCCGAGACTCAACTGCTCTGCCTCATGAACAGATAACCTGTGAGAAAGAGCTGTGCACTCTGGAACATTCAGGATAAACACAGAGTGGTGCCAATAATTATTATTATTACTCTACTGTGTGAGCTGACAGAATCCAGCAGTAGCACAGAATGTCAGGGATGTGTGAGACCCATCGGGTGTTACCAAGGCATCGTGGAAGGGAAAGCAAACAGAGCTGACACTGCTTTGTCCGTCTATGGCATGAAAATGGGACAATTAATACAGACGGTCCCTGACTTACAACGGCTCAACTTAACCAGTTTTCAACTTTACGATGGCACTCAAGTAATAACACATTCAGTAGAAACTACTTCGAATTTTGAATTTGCATCTTCCGCTGGGCTAGCGATCTGTAGCACCGTCCTCCCTGGGGATGTGGGGGCAGGAGCCGAAGCTCCCGTCAGCCACGCGCTCACGAGGGTAAACGACCGACAAAGTGACCGCCATCCCGTTTTTCTCTTTCAGTACGGTATTCACTATATTACATGAGATACTGCTCAGCACTTCATTATGAAATGGGCTCTGTGGGAGGCGATTTTGCCCAACTGTAGGCTAATGTCAGTGTTCCGAACACGTCTGAGGGAGACAGATTAAGCTATGATGTTCAGTAGGTTAGTGTGTTAAATGCATTTTCGACTTCTTATACTTACAATGGGTTTATCAGGATGTAACCCCAAAGCAAGTCGAGGAAGATCTGCACTTGATTTGTATTTGAACTTAACAACCCCTGGAACTACTAGTTGAGGTGCTGTAGGTTTCTCTGACCTAGGTTCTAGTTGCTGTGGGTGTTATTTTATGTTACAATAGTTACCCGCTCTGAGCCTCCCAGCCACCTAGATGAGACAGGTAGGAACAGCAGGCCCGTGATAGACATGTTATAGGTGACACTCCTCATTCCCAGAGGCAGGGGACCTGCCCAAGGTCACACACCTGGCTGTAGCTGACTCATATTCCTTTAGTCCCAAGCCCAGTGGCCCTGGTCCCCCCCCCCCACAGGTTGTAATTACACACATGCGCAACAGGTACATGAAGGACTAGGTGCTTAGACCCAGAGAGAGTGGAGATGGGGTCCTAGGCAGAGGGAGGGTAAACTGAGGCTTCCCTGCATGCTCTGGGCACTGTTCAGAGAGCAACCCCACCAGGAGAACCCCCATGCAGCCTCCTTGCTATTTCGTGTGGCGTTTGGCCAACTGACGACTGAAATTGCCAGGAAAAGCAGAGCAGCTTGGTAGCTGTCGATTCCCAGGTGGAAGGCATTTCCTGTCGTACCACCATCCCTTCAACACCTCCCATCACCCCCATCCACCAGCCCTGCACCCCGGCGAGCCTAATTCTTCCTTGCCTTGAAAATCCCCTCCTGCTCTGAGTCCTTCCAAGACATGCGTCCTTCACCCAGTGCCCCGTCCATACCTCTCGGGCTCTCTCCTTGTCCTGGGCAGCGCGGGTGCCTCCACCGTCTGCAGACATTTCTGAGATCAGAGGTAGGAAGCACAGCTGAGTCGTTTCTCCCTCTTGTTGGCCAACCCCCTCCAGCTTCTGGCCAGGAGCCTGAAAGAGCAGGAAGAAATCAGCCAGCGTCTGCTGGGCACCTCTAAAGCACTGTGAAAATCCCCACGCAGGACCAGACCCATCCTCGGTCCCAATCAGAAATAAAGCCTCCCAGATGCCTTCCAGTGACCTCACTCTCTGTGATGGTTTTTGGTCCCTCGCTTGACAGAATGCTATTTTGTATCGTCCCCTTTGTCACTTAAGCCAGGACTCTGCATCTCAGAGCAGCCCAGTCAGGGAAAGCCAGGGCTGACTTGGAATCTGTCTCTCCTGCCATCAGGAGCCAAAAGGTCTGCAGAGATCCTACAAAACAGGTGCTGGGTGTGGCCACACCCGTCACAGCCAGCTCAGCGGGAGAAGCGAGGCCCCACTGTCTCCCCCACCCAGGACACATATACCCTGCGCTTGACCTGACTCAGCCCCGCCTGGGATCCAGAAACTGAGCAGCCTGCAGCTGCAACCACTCTCCAGGTCCATCCTGCTCAGGGGCCTGGACAGACCATGTCCTTCCCCTTCCCTAACCTGGGTCCAGGCCCCCTTTTCTCCCCACCAGCCTGAAGCCTTCCACTTTTGACCCCGTCCCCTCCGGCCAGCCGGCCACCCACATGGATCTCGGGATCCAGGCTCCCTCCCCAGTGCCCCTCTCACCGAGGTGGAGGCAGAGGGGGCACCTCGGGTGGTGGGGGCCCCCTCCCCCAGGAAGGGAGACTCCACAGCCTACACCAGGCCGGGGAGCCGGGTGGAGACTGGGATTAGGGACAACAGGAAGTCCCTCCCAGATCCCGTTCCCCACGCAGCTGCAGCCCTACAGGGTTCCCGGCTTCGAGGGTTCCGGGTCTGGGGTCCTGAGCTGGGCTGCACCTGCTCTCGGCCGGGAGGTGAGTCCTAGGTCTGCGCTGCCTGCTCACGATTGCTTTACCTGGCATGCACTTGTGATGCCAGGAAAGCAGGGACGCCAAAATGGGGAAATAAATTCTGTGGAAGGATTCTGACATTTGACATTTCAAAGAGGGCACTGCAACTGTTCTCACAGAAGGAAGGGTACTTTCCTGGGTAGAGGGGTACGATAGTCCTTTTTGACACACAGGGCTTCTGAAGGTCTTATGGTGTCTCCATAGAGACGTTCCTGGATTTCACCTAAGGCCCCCAGGCCGGTGAGCAGGTCCTCTGGGCTCTCCCCAAGACTGGCGAGGAGTTCTGTCTCCCTGAGAGCAAACTTAGCAAACAGGCCTGGGAACTCCCCCCTACCCCCACCCCTGTGCCCCACACCATGAAAAGATGTCGGACCAATCTGATTCCTCTAGACCTCCTCTCCCCAGCTCCGTCTCAAGGCTGGGGAGTGTAACAGGGGTAACGGGGTCTGACCCAGCCATCAATAGGGTCCCAGACTCCATCTCCCAGTCTTGGCTTTCCCTTTGGGCCCTGAGAACCAAGGCTCCCAAAATGGAGGCCGAGACTGCTTCACTTCTAGGTTGAAGAACCCATCTCCCCCCTGAGCAGGGCATAGAAGATGGGTCTCAGGAGACGAGTGGGGCCAGCTCTGGAGTCAGATTCCAGGAAACCTCCCCATGTGCGTGGCGTCCAGCCATCAGAATCCTCTGACCCTTCACCCAGTAAGACAGGCACACGTGGCCCCGTGCCGGCCTACAGCTGTGCTGTGTGGGCTCACAGGGGCTTAACTACTTTAAAACTTAGTTTTCCAACATTTAACAATTAGTAAAGTTCTCATAAAATCAAGTTACTTGAAAAATCAGAACATCAGGCAACCCTGGACTCATATTCCCCACATTCGGGGGCTGCTCTCATGTAGCTGCATTTGGTCCCCACTTGCCCCTGCAGCATTCTGAATTTGCAACTCTGCTTTTGGAGTTAAACATGCTTTAGGATTCTGATCTATCCTACTGTCACTTTGATGAACAAAAAATATTAGCCTTGGGGTTTGCCTCTGGTCAGTATTTCCAGGAGTTTTAATCCTCAAGGTAAAGAGGGATGTCCAAAGTTGTAGCAAAAGTCAATACGATTGTCAAGCCCGAAAACTATAAACTGAGAAGTCACAGGGGGCTGTGAAAAAGATTAACTACTCAGTCTGTGAATGTTTCTCCATCGACAAGGAACATGACCAATGTCCAGAGTAAGGAGACTCACTCCTGTGGTGACCCATTTCAGCCCACGTCAGCTCTAGGCATGCACCGAGTCCCAAAACAGTGGGAGTGTCCTGATTCTTGGCAAATGTTTCTCTACCAGACAAAAGGGGCCACTTCAGGGATGCTGGGGAATCCCAGCAGTTTGGATCCCACCACGAGATCACCTAAACTAAACCAAATGAAGTCTCAACATTTATTTAACTGTTCAGAAAATATTTATTGAGCATCTACTATATGACAGACATTAGCCCCTTCCTGGAGATGAGAGGAAACACCTCCAGGGCTGGCTCTAGGACTGAGCAGGTCTAGGAGGAAGGGTGTTCACGTTTGCTGTGTGGGAACTGCAGTCCCTAAAAGACCGCAGAAAGGCACCAGGGAAAGCAAAGATCAAAAACCTAAATGACTCCAGCAAACAGGCAGCACCACAAATGACCAGTGGCTTGGGTGAAAGATGGTAGTGGGGGAGGGCTGCAGGGGCTTCAAGAAATCATATTTTGTTCAAAGGGGGCAGTTGGGGCTCAATATTGCCAAAGCTTGAGGATTTTTCAAGAGACACCAAAAAAAAAAAAAAAAAAAGACTTATATGTGAAATATCCCGACTTTTAAATGTCGATGATTCAAATAAAAATTTAAGAACTCCATACAACTTCAGCAGAAAACACCTGCTGTCTAGCTCATGGGGCACCAGTTCCGGGATGTACTCACCTCAGGAGCCTGTCACAAGGATAACTATCACGGATGGAGGCGTTTATCTGGGCTTCAGACGGGGCAAACATTCCCGCATCTGGCGGCTTCACTGAGCTTAAGAAGAGGTCACCTTCAGTAAATAAATCATGATCTACCTTCAGACATTGGCCTGAGAATTGACTCCGGTCCCACAAAAGCGGTCAGAATAATAAGAACTAGAAAAAGGCATCACCTGAAGTAAGAAGGGAAAAAAATGTTTAAAAAGGAAAGGGAAGAAAGCTTGTACTAATTACGGCTGTTCAGCCAAGCTGGAGACAGGGTAATGCAGAACTCTTATCTAGCCTTAGGAAGGAGAGAAGATAAGGAGAAATAAAGGAATGTGAGAGAGGCCAGGAAAAACAGGAATAATCGAGTAAACAGCAGAGCAAATGCTAACCACGGAAAAATAAAAAAAAGGAAAGCGGATAGGTGGGCAAATCAGGTGGGGCCCCAGGAATACAAATTTTTTTAAAGCAAATAATTAAGAACCCTCAGGGCCACTGAGACCAGGGCGTGGACGCCCCCGCGGCCAGCGGCAAGCCCGAGGCCCCGTGCCCTGACGCCAGGCGGCCGCACAAGCCACCGTTCCCGGCCGCGGGGTGCCCACGCGCCACGCGCCCCGCGCCCACGAGTCAGCGCCTTCCACCCCCAGCCGGCCGAACACCGACGCGGGATCGCGTCGCCCAGGCAGCAACGCCGCCCCGCCCACGCAGCGTCGCCGCCCCACCCACGCGCCTACGGCAGCCACCGGTGATTGGCTGGCGCCCGACGGCCTGGCCCATCCCCCTGCCCAGGGCCCCGCCCCTAGCTGCGCGCTCCCGTCCGCGCCCCCCTGAGGGACAGCCCCGCCGAGGGGGGAGGGTCACGCTGGGCGGCCTGCCTCTGGCCGGTGTGCCCGCGTTTCCCGTCCGGCTGCCCCATCTCAACTTCCGGTTTCCCGGCTCTCTCGCGGCGCCCGCCGGTGGGCATCGTGCGCGGGGACAGCCGGGGCGGTGAGGACCGCGAGGACGGCCACGAGCCCTCGAGTCGGCGTCTCGCGTGGGGAACCTGAAGCTGTCTGCGCGAGGGCCCGGCCCCCGGCCCCCAACACTCACCTGTTCAGAATTTTGTTTCAAAAACGGGAGTATAGCATATGCTGCCGACCTGCCCCCTCTGTGACGCATACCTTGTTCAATATAAAAACAGAGAGGACAAAAACCATGCTGTGTCAAAACCAAACAGCCAGACATCCGTCAAGGCAGCGAAAGCAGACTTTATTCAGTAACTGCTGACAGCAGGGGAAAGAGCTGAGCTCTGTCTGGTTTGTGCAGAGGTGACTGGGGTTTTAAAGGGAGGAGGGAGGAGGAGAGCAGGGCCCACTAGTCAGGGTCGTGAACGATCACAGACAGCGGGTCAGTGGGGGTGTGACCAGGCCAGGAGGTGTGTCGCTGGCAGGTATGGAAGTCAGCAGTCTATCCTCCCACGGAGAAGGGAGACCGAAGCCAGGTCCCTCCAAAGGAATGGCTCTCCCGTGACAGATGCTTCTCAGTTTTAAGAGACACATACTCACAATAATAAACCCTTTTTAGTAAATGCTCTAAGGGAGGTCAGCTCTTGGCTGGAACAAACACTAAATTCTCCCTGCAGCATTGAGCTTTCTCAGGCAGGGCTGGGGTCATCCTAGCCGTGCGCTGCTGGAAGCCATCCTAGAGTCTGGTCAAGTCTCTCCGTGCTGGTTGAGGAATGGTTAGGTGCTGAGAATTCTATAAATCTCAAGCGGTGCCTTGCTGGTTTTAGCTATGGCACATTCCCTTGTATGGCTGACCCAGCAGCCTGCCCATCACAGTCAGCAGAAATGGCCAAGAGGCCCCTTCCTAGGCAGCAACACCAAGTGCTTCCTTCCATGATTGTCAAGGCTAGCAGCTTCAGCCTCAGCCAGACAAGCTGTGGACTCCAAGGCCAGAAACCCCCCAAATTTAATAGGATAGACTGGATATGTTCCCAGAGCACCCACATCCCACCTTCCGGAACACTGACTTTACCTGGGAGCTAAAGACAGCTTACAGTACAGGCAGGGAGGATACTCTAGTGAAACTAGGCTGGATAGCTCAAGACTCACTCCGGCTGGCCCTTTGGTGTGGAAATTAGAGTAAGTTAAGTTACTTTTTCTTTAGAGATTGGTGCATTTTTAGGAAACCAGGAGAGTGTCATCATCCCAAAATACCCTTCGTTGCAGCTGCCACCTCCTACTATCTCATACCTAAAGTGTCCCCCAGTCTCGGGTAGAGTTTCAGGTTACATTCATTCATGCAAGCCTAAGACACTGAGGCAGGGAGGATAGGGGGACTCAGAAGGCATTCTGCCAGGCTCAGCACCAGAGGACCCTTACTGGAGGCCCCTCACAGTAGCAAATGGCAATGGCACCCAAGCACCCACCCTTGATGGCAGTTTCGGCTTATATTTACAACCCTTCATCCTGCTACATTCTCCCTCCCCCACTCCCCAGCCGTCAGACTCCCTGTACAGATCTTGTGGTCTCACACAGAATCTTTTATATTCTTTTTACTTCAGTGGGTGTGGAAAAAAAAATGTAGAGCTTCCATTTATTTTTACTTTATCTCATCCTTTCAAAAATTCAATTTTTGTGATTTTTTTTTAAAGTAGGCTCTATGCCCAGCATGGAGCCCAATGCAGGGCTTGAACTTATAACCCTGAGATCAAGACCTGAGCTGAGATCGAGTCAGATTCTTAACGGACTGAGCCACCCAGGCACCCCTTTGTGAATGTTTTATAATGTGGGGGGGAAATCAGCTAATGATAAGAATCAGGGCCCTTGGAGAAATGGGTGATCCTAGGACCAGGGCAAAATATACACAAGATGAATCTGTAGATGGTGGGAGGGGAAAGACTGCAAGCTCTCTAGACAAGTGGGTGGCAGAATATTCTAAAGCTGAACATCTACATATTCTGTGACGTAAGTGATTCACTTCTGGGTAGAAACCCAGCAGTAACTCACATCCCATGGTCACCAGAGACTTACAATAACTACTACATGTAGTCCCAAACAGAAAACCACCTACTGTAGGTGGGATGAACAAATAATGCAACAGGGAACACCATTCAGGAAACAAGCAACACATGGATTGGGTCTCCCACTATGGGGTAAGCAAGGTGAAGAATCCCTTGGGGTGCCTGACTGGCTCAGTTGGTACGGCACGCAACTCTTGATCTTGGGGTTGTGTGTTTGAGCCCTACCTTGGGTTTAGAGATTACTTAAAAATAAATCTTAGGGGCACCTGGGGTAGCTCAGTTGGTTAAGTGTCTGTCTTCAGCTCAGGTCATGATCTTGGGGTCCTGGGATGGACTCCCACGATGGGCTCCCTGCTCAGTGGGAAGTCTGCCTCTCCCTCTCCCCCCTGCTCGTGCTCTCGCTTGCTCTCTCTCAAATAACTAAGTTAAATATCTTGAAAAAAAAAAGAAATAAGAAATAAAATCTTTTTTAAAAAATCCTATTCTGTGACTTCATTTACATGAAGTTCAAAACCAGACCAAATGTATCTGCTGTAGTTGGAAGTTAAGATGGTGATTACGGGGGAGGGAAATGGCCAGAAGGGGGCACCAGAGTAGGCCAGGAATGCAATGGCTGTCCTCACTTGGTGGAAATTCATCATACTCTTCATTCTTGGTTTATGTACATTTCTGTATGTTACACCTAAAACTTTTGTTAAAAAAAAAAAAAATGTGAATGAAGAGAAACCAGTGGGGCGCCTGGGTAGCTCAGTTGGTTATAAGTTGGCCCTTCTGCTCAGGTCATGATCCCAGGGTCCTGGGATGGAGCCCCACATTGGGCTCCCTGCTCAGTGGGGAGTCTGCTTCTCCTCTCCCTCTGCCTGCCGCTCCCCCTGCTTGTGCTCTCTGTCAAATAAATAAATAAAGTCTTTTAAAAAAGAGAGAGAGAAAAACCAGTTAGGTCATTGCTATGGCCTTGGCAGGTGACGATGGTGGCCTGGACTTGGATGACAAGCAGTGGAAGTACAGAAATAGGCAGATTTGAAAAACATTTAGGATATTAACCCTACGGAACTTGGAGACTGACGAGATGTGAGAATGAGGTAAAGCGAGGGGATCAGGGATAAATCCCAATTTCTGGTTTGAGTGACATGTTTACCAAACCAGAAAATACCAGAGGCACAGAGGTTTGATGTGGAGGACTCACTGAGCCACATGTAGTGAGGATTTGCTACCTGCCGGGCCCTGGGGACACAGCGGGCAAGGACAACTGAGCCCCTGCCGTGGAGCTTGCAAGGAGCTGCGTGAGCTTGGTCTTGAACACGAAGACTCTGGGGCATTTATGAGACATCCAGGTGGCAACACCAAGTGCAAAGAGTCGAGAAAGAAAATATAAATACAGGGATATTGGCACCGAGAATGGTTATGGAGGCAGCTAAGAAACCAGCAAGGGAGGTACATTAGTTACTTATTGCTGTGTAATCAATGATCCCAAAACATTGTAGCTTAAAATAAATACTTATTATCTCATGGTTTCTGTACCCTACAGGGCTTAGCTGGGTGCCTCTAGCTCCTCAAGCTCAAGGTCAATAGCCGTGGTCAAGTCATCCATTTGACTGTGGGAGAGGGTCCAAGTTGACCGGCCTTGGTCCCTCACCACAAGGGCCTCTCTTTCCTCAGACGTGGCTCCCCCAGGGTGAGCCAGCAAGACATGGAGAGAGAGCGCGTCAGGGCTGCCAAGAAATCACAGTCTGTTTACAACCTAATCTGCTCCTACTCAATTCTGTTTATTAGAAGTGAATCACTAAATCCAGCCCCCACCCAAAGGGAGTGGGTTACACAAGGGTGAGACCAACAAGATGCAAGGATCACTGGAGGCCCCCAAGCCAGAGCCTCGCAGGTGCCAACAGGTACTGCTCAGTAAATGCTCAAAGGTGAGGCTGGTGCAGGAGGCTGAGCAGAGACTTTGGGAGAAACGGAGAAAGAGAAGATAGGCAATAAGGAAGGAAGGAGAAGATCAAACCGACTGAGAGGTCCACTGGGAACCAGCGACCCACGGAAACACGCCCTGTGGCTGACCATCCAGTGCAGGGACAGACGAAAGCCAAGCAAACAAAAAAGCGACAAGTGAATTAGACTGTGGCACATGCGAGGAGGGAACAAGCATGGACGGAGAGAGGACCGAGGGGACACTGTCACAAGAATGGGCGGAAGCAGCCTCCACAAGGAGACTGACATCACTGGTGGACATTTCCGAATGAAGCAGGGGTCGGGGCGAGAGCATCCCTTCCAGGCCAGGGCCGTGAGGAGGATGGAGCTGGCGTGCTCAGAGACTGAAGGGCAAAGGAAGAGGGCAGAAGATGTGACTGCGGGTGGGCGCCGGGGGTGAGCTGTCTGCATGTAGCTCAAAGGCGCGGTGGGAAACCATAGAGGAGCTTGGAGCAGCAGAGAGAATAGATTCCATCAAATGATGCTGAAGGCACACGGATAGTGGCAAGTGGCAAATGGCAAAGCTGAGGCTGCAGCTCAGGCCCCTGGAGCCAGTGAGACAGACCAGAGGCTTGGGGGGTGGGGGGCGCGAATTTATGGACACCAGAGAAATACGGGGCCGGGCCCAAGGCTCACCTCGTGTTCTCAATATCCCCCCGTGTCTCTGTCCCAGGGCTGGTCCTCAGTGAGGGCTGCGCCCTCCACACCCTGCAATCCTTCACTGCAAGCACCACAGGAAAACGCTGGGGTCTCAGCTGCAGGTAAAGGTGTTACTTAACACGATTTAGAGACAGGCATTTGAGCTGCTGGAATAACCAGAGGCTATTTAATAATAGATAACAGAGATCTTTATAGTGATCGCTCCCAGAGCTGGAGAGGGATTTCTCCCTTTGGCCTGAATTATTCTGAATGGGCAAATCCTATGGAAACAGAAAATACAGGAAAACTTGTCTTTCTTTTGTAATCTCTGAAAAGATGAAAGAGGAGAGAGGGAGACTCCCATCAGTCAGGTGCTCTAACTGGCTGACACTAGAGTTAAAAAATGTCTTCATGTTTGATAAGTAACACTGTGTTAACTGTGCTGGAATTAAAACAAAAACTTTTTTAAACTATTTTTAAAATTTTTTTGAAGATTTTATTTATTTGACAGAGAGAGAGAGAGCACAAGCAGGGGGAGCGGCAGGCAGAGAGAGAGGGAGAAGCAGGCTCCCTGCTAAGCAAGGAGCCTGATGTGGGGCTCGATTTGGGACTTGATCCCAGGACCCTGGGATCATGACCTAAGCCGAAGGCAGACGTTTAACCTACTGAGCCACCCAGGCATCCCTAATAATTCTTTTTTTTAAATTAAGTTTTTTTATTTTAGGGGCTCTGCCTGCCAGTCCCCCTGCTTGTGCACATACACTCTCTCACTTTCTCTGTCAAATAAATAAATAAAATCTTTACAAAAATTAAAAAAAGAATTATTAAATCAGGAAACAAAAACAAAAAGATTTCTTGCTTTTGTTTTTTTTTAGACACCAGATACTTCAAAAAAGAAAATTGTAAGGTAACACCTAGAACAGTTTGTATGCATTTTCAAAATAATTTTAGGAGATATTGAAATATACCCCAAATAGGTAGATTTTTATTAAAAGTCTCTCCTTTGGAGGTGTGTAGATCACTTGTGGAAATAAATAACAATCCAGCAACTTCACAAGAATTTTCATCTGTTAGCGGGTACCGCGGGGAGAGGGGAGTGTATTTACAAAGATCAGGAAGAATTGGAAGGGACTTAAATGTTCATTAAGCCCTTTTCTCTGCAAAGTCCCTTTAGTTAATAGAAGTCAAAAGGAATCCCCAGGGGCACCTGGGTGGCTCAGTTGGTTAAGCCCCTGCCTTCAGGTCAGGATCCCAGGGTTCTGGGATTGAGCCCCAAGTTGGGCTCCCTGCTTGTGCTCTTTCTCTCTCAAATAAATAAATAAAATCTTAAAAAAAAAAAAAAGGAATCCCAGGTTCGGTGACCTGGCTGCCCAGATTGTAAGCCTCACGGGGGCAGCACTTGTCCAGCTCATCACTGGGTTCCCAGGGGCAGGGACAGCGCCAGACGCACAGGAGGGAAGCAAACCTTTCCCGAATGAATGAGGGGTGCACGCAGGCGGTGGGCCAGGAGCGGGGTTTTTGGCCAAGCAAAGCCCGGGCAGAGGTTTAGGAATGAAGGAGACCAAAAGCTAGTGTTATTCTCGGTTATTCTCGTTTCAATGCGGGCGCCAAGCCCTTCTGCCTGGATGCTATTTTGGTGGTTTGGTCAAGCGGGTCTCTGCTTTTCTGACACTTTTCCAGGAAAGGTATCACTTCTGAGTCGAAGGCCTGGAAATCAGTGCTAACAGCGGAACCCCGAGCCTTCCCGCCGCGCTCTCAGCCAGCTCCCCCAGGCCCTGACTGCGGACTCCGATCCTTACCCGGAGAGCGCACGTTCCAGCAGGTCCCCTCCACCGTAGCCGTACAGGCCCCGTGGCCCGCAGCGCAGCCGTCCCCACTCCCAGGGCTCAGACGTGGCCACGTCCTCCAAGGTCACAGCCCCCGGGGAGCCGGTCAGGCTTGGGGGCGGGGGCTGCCGGGAGGAATCCAGACCTGTGCGTGCGGGAGGCGCCTCCGCCCGAGGGGTGGGGGTTCCAGGCTCCGCCCAGGAGAGGAGGTTTCCGGGCCCCGCCCAGGGGAGGGGGTTTCCGGGCCCCGCCCAGGGGAGGGGGTTTCCGGGCCCCGCCCAGGGGAGGGGGTTTCCGGGCCCCGCCCCGGGGTCCGGTGACCAAGCCGGGTCCGGTAGGTGGGGTTTCGCCGCCGCTGCGGCTGAGCTCTGGGCGTCCGGCGCGCTGCACACTTCTGAGGGCGGTGGGCCTCGCGGGCCGGCTCCTAAGCCGTTCCGTCCGTCTTGACACATGCCAGCTCTGGGCTAGGTGTGGAGGATGCGGCGCAGACAAGGGAAACACCACTGTCCACAGGGAGCTTGCGGTCCAGGGAGGCCCACACTAGACAATGAAAATAAAGGAACAAGATAAGCCCAGGTGCCACGTGCAGGGAGACAAGGACCCGGCAGAAGAGCCAGAGCGAGCGCAGGGTCTGGCCCCGACCGATCAACGGGCCTAGGCCGAGGGGCGGCCAACACCGAGCCTCCCGCCACCGAGCAGGTGTCCCGGGTGCCTGGGACAGGTGGTGCCACGAGAGTGCCCGCGGGCTCTGAACCGCGGGTTCCCTCGAGGAAAGCGCCCTACGGGCTGCGGCCAGCCAAGAGCACGACCCAAAAAGACATCTCAGAGCAAAGGGAAAAGCTTGACTTTAGAGGTCGAGTTGGGCTCAAGGCCAGTGGGGAGGTCACATCCTCCCGGAAGTCCCTGCTTCCTCTTTGGGAAAGCTGGGACAAAAGCCACCTGGCAAGATTCTTGGGAAGATCTTAGGTGGTGTTGGTGGCGCGCTTTCTTCCCCCGTCACGTGGTCATGTTTTCTTACCCCGGGACAGCTCCAGCACACCTCCGCATAAGCCGTCTGAGGTCGGGGCCGGCTCCTGTTCACCTCAGCACCTGCAACTGTGCCTGGCACATAGCAGGCCCTTGGCAGAGATCTGTCGCATGAATGAAATGCTAGCAAAGAGCCCAGCGCACAACAGGCCTTTTAAAATGGCAGCTCTGGCCACCCCCCAACCCCCGCGCCGCCCCAGAAAGTACAGGCTGACAGACCCCCTCCCCACAAGGAGAACAGGAACAGTCCTGATTAGGAGGGGAGCAGTTCTTACCTGGAGGGGTAGTTAGACTCTCATTCTCGGTCCCAGGCTGGAGTCTGGCTTAGCCACTCTGTCCTCATTTCTCTGGCCCCGCCCTCTCCCCCACCCCACTTCCAAACTGGGAGGTTAAGGGTTAACTCGAGGAAGCCCCCTCATTACCTGGATGGGACTAGAGCAGGGAACTTCCTGTTCAGTTTTCCCGGAGTCCTTTCCCAGTCTGGCCGAGGCTGACTCTGGCCCTGGGGCCCTCAAAGAACCCCTAGCACTTCCACCTCTGGAGTGGGGACCCCGAGTGGTGAGTTGCAGGGAAGCCTGGGGTGAAGGCTGCCAGGACAGACCTAAGGAGTTCCTAGCAGCTCAGAGGGAAAAGGGGGACCCGGGCCTCAGCGATGGGATGGGGGATTAGGAAGCTGGAAAGAAATCTTGGGAGGATGTGGGTCGTCTATGCTGGGAGCCCAGTGCCAGCCAGCTCTGCAGACCTGCAGCTATGGGGTCATCAAGGAGGCTGGTGGGGCTTCCTGTAGCATGGGTTTGCTGTACCCACTGGGGAGGGTAAGGCAGGCTCCATGTGTCCCCAGGTGGACCAGCCGGCCTCACCAACTCACCCCAGCACCGGGAAGGGAGCCTGGCCAACAGAAACAAGCCAACCAATCTCCTGCCAGCCGTGTCCAGGGAGAAAGGGAGGGTTCCTGGCCAAGGATCCTGGCTCTGGGCTCTCCTGCTGTCTGCGTGGGTCTTGTGGCAGCACCTCCAGCCTGGGCAGGTCCAGCCATTGCCTCCCCACCTCTCTGGGCTCCAGATTAAGCTGGTCGAATATTGGAGGGTGGCTGAAGAGCCTCCCACCCCCCACAGATGTGCATATGAACAGAGCTTTTGTCCTGAAGACTGAGGGGGGAGGGAGAGACTTTCAGGCCAACTTCCCTTAAATTCCATCTCTTTCAAACCTTTTGGCAAGACCTCACCTGGAGGTTCCGGGCACCCCTGCGTGTGTCTAGGCCCAAGGGCTAGACCTTGGAATCTCATTTTTTTTTTCTCCGATTTGCGCTGTGATATTCTGGCTAAAACTAGGCAAATTGCACAGGGAGAGAGAGAAATTGGGTCCTTTTCTGTTTCTGAGCTTTTGCATAGTGGTCAAGATCAGTGTTCTTACCTTAAAGAAAATCCTGGCTCCACCTGGTGTGACCTTGAGCAAGTCACCCATCCTCCTGGAGCGTGGTCTTTACCCTGTGTCAAATGGAGAAATTATAATTTACCACACAGGCTGGGGTGGGATTAAGCAACCCTGAGCTGAGAGCCCATACATATTAGCACTCAGTACCTGCCAGCTATTATTACAAGGTGACTGATTACCCGTGATTGGTTCTATTATTTTGCTCATGCTGCCAAAACAATGAAACAAAAGCCCATTTTCCTGAACACTTACCAGAGAGCTTTTCTGCATCAGACATTTTTGCATGCATTCCTCAGTAGCACACCTTCCAGGTAGGCATTATCATTCTCATTTTGTTATTTCTACTAACAAACGCTGAAGCCCCTTCAAGAGCTAAGGGAACCGTTTTGAACAAGACGCGGTTCCTACTTGCCAAGGGGAGAGAGACACTCAACCATGGTTGTGGTACAGCACGACAGTGGACAGGGAGAGACAGGTTGCTGGTGTGTTGTGGAGTCCCTGCAGAGAGCCGCCAAGGGGTGGGAGGTGCCCCATGCGGGGTCAGATGCCAAATGCGGGAAAGAATGTTGGCTCCGCGGCTGGGCGCGGCTGGGCAGGAGACTGGGGAGAAGCAGGAAGGGGGAGGCTGGCTGGAGAGATGAGCACCAGCCTGGTCAGGTGTCCAGGATGGAAGCCTGGGTCTTCAGCATCCCCATCATCCTCCTCCTCGGGTGGGAAGTGACCAGCCAGGTTTAAAACCCACTTTCCTCTCTTCTGCCACACCTCATTCCCCCCAGCTGAACAGGAGCCTCAGGGAGCCCCCTAGTCCCGCAACAAGGGGGCTCAATAAACTGTCCAAAGCTCTTGGCCAGGCCGACTCCTCCCTGGCGGCATTGCCAAGGCTGGGTTACCTCCTTGGCAAATGTCTGTACCTCTGAGCCTTGTTGTCTTCAGCTGTAAAATGGGCCAGTGATGGGACCGACTGTTAGCTGTGGTCATTTGTGTTGTTGCTAAGTAATAATGAGAACTGCGATTGCTAGCACTCCTGCACGCCCACCACGTGCTGTCGTCCAGGTGCCCAGCACTGCTCTACTCCCTTTATGTGGTGCAGAGTGACGCAAGAGCCTCTTTTCCCTTGCCCGTGCTTGGGATGTCCATGGGGTTTGGGTCAGGGGACAGACTGGGGAGAAGCTCACTTGTAGCCTTGAGGCCAGAGAGCAGGGAGGGCAGACAAATGTTGGAGCTTGGGTTTTTGTTTCCATAAAGTAATTTTGGCCCAAATTAAAATATAAAAGTGCCTCAAAACTCTGGAGCAAAAGTGCTGGCCTATTCAGGACGATGAAAGCCCTCTGGGTTCTGCTGAAGGACTGAACTGAGTCCTCTGGGTGAGGCTGAACTTGAGGCATCTCCCTGTTGGTAGATCTGGGCGGCCCCACAAGGAAAGAGTAGTAGCCCCTTAGCCCTCTGGCAGGGGAGGGCCTGGTGCGGGCTTGGGAAGAGAGCTTGGGAGGTGGTCCGTGTGTGGAACCATTGCCCCCTGGTGGCCAGTTAACACTTTTATTGCTACTTGGGGGTGGATACTTTCCAGAGAGATAGACCCAGGAAGAATCCAGAATTTAAAAAAAAAAAAAAAAATTTAGGAAAGAAAAAAAAACAATGGCCTCTCCTGCCCATCACCCAGCTCCCAAGAGTGTACCCACGAGAGGCCTCTGAAGTGGGCAGAGCCACTTTTGTCGGCCTTGGGACCCTATCTGTCACAAATTTCTGCCAGTCGTAAGCCTTAGTCTTGGTCTCTCATCTGGAGACCCACCCACCCCTCCCCGCTCTCTGGCTCATCCTGGCCTCTGTCTCTGGCAGAACCCTGGGAAATGAGATTGGAACACCAGGTGGGTGCTCAGCCCTGCACTGACCACCTGGGTGGCCTTGGCCTTGACTGCTGAGAACCACCTCCAGAGCAGTAAAGTGAGAGTCAGGATGTCTGGTCAAGGAGGAATCACATGCATGAGCTCCCCCCACCCTTGCCGACACATGCACACCTATTATCTTCAAAACTGTCAATTTTTCAGAGACACTGAAAGAACAGCACAAGGGGGGGCGCCTGGGTGGTTCAGTTAGAGTTCCCTCTGCCCCTCCCCCTTGCACAGTTAGAGCTCCCTCTGCCCCTCCCCCCGCTCATGCTCTCTCTCTCTCTCAAATACATACATTTTTTAATTTTTTAAAAAGATTTTATTTATTTATTTATTTGAGAGGGAGAGAGAGAAGCAGGCTCCCCACTGAACAGGGATCCCCAGCACGCTGGGATCATGACCTGAGCCGAAGGCAGGCGCTTAACCAGCTAAACCACCCAGGCACCCCTAAATAAAATATTTTTTAAAATAATATAAAAACATCCGTCTCCAGTCAAAGTTCATTCATTTGCGTGTGTGGCTTAGTTTCCTCTAGAGCAACGCTCCCCCTACAGGCGCTTGTTAAAATAACACCGAAGAAACTGGGCCAGTTGTTTGCCGGGATATTCCGAATTCGCAATTTGTTCCATTGTTTCTTTGAGGGATCACCTCACTTGTTTGTTTGTTCTTTTTTTTTTTTTTAAGATTTTATTTATGTATTTGACAGAGAGAGAGAGAGCGAGAGCAGGAACACAAGCACGGGGAGTGGGAGAGGGAGAAGCAGGCTTCCTGCCGAGCAGGGAGCCCGATGTGGGACTCGATCCCAGGACCCTGGGATCATGACCCCAGGACCCTGGGATCATGACCCGAGCCGAAGGCAGACGCTTAAGGATTGAGCCACCCAGGCGCCCTGTTTGTTTGTTCTTAAGATTTATTTATTTATTTATTCTAAAGAGAGAAAGAGCACAGGTGGGAGAGGGAGAGAGAATCCCAAGCTGACTCTGGGACAAGTGCTGAGCCCCACCCAGGGCTCCATTCCACCACCTCAAGACCATGACCTGAGCTGAAACTGAGAGTCAGGCGCCCAACCGACCGCACCACGGAGGCTCCCCGTTCTTTTTTTTTTTTTTTAATTGAATAAATTTTACATGTAACGTTGTATACCTTAAAGGTGTACAGCATGTTACTTTGGTACATTCATATATTGTAATATGATTGTCAGGGGAGTGATATTTATTCCATTACATACTTCTAGTACACTATTATTGTCTGTATTCATTATATTGTGCATTAGATCTCTGTGGATTATTTGCTCCTAGTTACAAGTTTGTACCTTAGACACCATCACTTTTTTTTTTTTTTTAAAGATTTTATTTATTTATTTGACAGAGACACAGCGAAAGAGGGAACACAAGCAGGGGGAGTGGGAGAGGGAGAAGCAGGCTCCCCACCGAGCAGGGAGCCCGATGCGGGGCTCGATCCCAGGACCCTGGGATCATGACCCGAGCCGAAGGCAGACGCTTAACGACTGAGCCACCCAGGCGCCCCAACACCATCACTCTTATCCACCACCCCCACCCCCACCCCCACCCGTTCTTATTCCTTGCAATGCAAAGCTGGGGCTAAAGTCGAGCTGGATTGTATCGCCATGAAACATTTTTGGCAACGGCGCATCTTTGATGCTGCTGCACGCTCCCCACGGCACAGCATCGAGAGGCAGGGAAACTCAACCGTCCTGTCTCAGGAATGCCAATTTTGATCACTGGGGTGAAGTTCTGAATGCTGCAGGAAGGGACGAAAAGACAGAACTATCGGTTTTCTCTGCCTTTTAGTGTTTTGGTCAGGCTGGGGCCTTGGGCTGTCCTGCTCTCTGAGTCCTTACCCATGACCAATGAGAGAAGTGCTTCCTCTGGAGGCCACATCTTCGGCATTTCTTAACACCACAGGTGTGGGAGCAGAGAGGGAGAGACCCGAGAGTGGCACCTGCTGCAGCGAGCTACGCCCCAAGCTGAAGGATGCTTGAAGAGCCCGTCCCGGCTGCCCGAGAGCCAGAGCAGCTTGGAGCAGTCAAACTGGAGGAAGAGGAGGCTGCTGGTCAGGAGGACGTCAGGCATGCACAGGCCAGGCCCCGGCCCGAGGTGGCTCACCAGCTCTTCAGATGCTTCCAATATCAGGAGGACATGGGGCCGAGGGCGTCCCTGAGCCGGCTCCGGGAGCTCTGCAACCACTGGCTGAGGCCGGCTCTGCACACCAAGAAGCAGATCCTGGAGCTGCTGGTGCTGGAGCAGTTCCTGAGCGTGCTGCCCCCCCACCTCCTGGCTCGGCTGCAGGGCCAGCAGCTCAGGGACGGGGAGGAGGTGGTGCTGCTGCTGGAGGGAGTCCAGAGGGAGTCCAGCGCCGTGGGGCCCCTGGTAAGAGGGTGGTGGCTGGACAGCAGGTAGGGAGACGGGGACTTCAGTGCCCCATGAAGAAATCGCTCCGTTTCCCTCCCTCCACTAATTTCTTTTTAACCTCCTACCTCTGCCGCCTCTCACCTTTCCTTGGTCGCGTTTCCCTTGGGAGTCAGTAGGACAGGGACTATTGCCCTGTCCTGTCCGTCGCCTAACATAGATGTATTTTGAACAGGATTTTAGTTTTAACACTGGTAAGAACTGTCCCCGGGCAGACATCACTTTGGAGGAACAGGGGGGCTCTTCCCAGGTCTCCAGTCACAGCCCCAAAAAGGAAGTGCCCTCAGAAGGACCTCCAGCCCTGGAGGCACCGAGGGAACCCCTGCCATCCCAGCCAGGGCCTTCCAAGCCCGCTGAGCTGGAGACCTGGAGACATCCCCCAAGTGCAAAGCAGCCACTGAGCCCAGGTCCCAAGAGGACATTCCAGGCCCTGCAAGAGACTGGTGAGGAGTTGGTACCCCGGGAAGGTGGGAGCTGGGAGGCACGGTATGTGAGGGTGGAGGGTGGGGTGAGAAATAGGCAGCCTCCCTCTTTGACGGGGATGGGAGAGAGCCAATGTCTCTCTTGGGGCCCTGGCAACAGGTGCACTCCCTGTAGCCAAGTGGAGGGTAAGTCTGGCTTCTAACAGCTCTCCCCACCCCACCCCCATGCTGTCAGTCCCCCAGGGCCCTGTCCTATGGCTGGAGGAAAACTCCCGAGATCAGGAGCTGGCAGCTGTGCTGGTGAGCTGGACTAGTA